ACCACTAGTGCAGCAGGAACATCTACAACTACAGAGACTTCCACAATCACATCAACTGCTCCTGAAACATCCACCACTAGTGAAGCAGAAACATCTACAACAACAGAGACTTCCACAGTCACAACAACTCCTGCAGAAACATCAAGCACTAGTGCAGCAGAAACATCTACAACAGCAGAGACTTCCACGATCACAACAACTGCTCCTGAAACATCCACCATTAGTGCAGCAGAAACATCTACAACAACAGAGACTTCCACAATCACAACAGCTGTAGCTGAAACATCCACCACTAGTGCAGCAGAAACATCTACAACCACAGAGACTTCGACAATCACAACAACTGCAGCTGAAACATCCACCACTAGTGCAGCAGAAACATCTACAACGACAGAGACTTCCACGATCACAACTGCTCCTGAAACGTCCACCACTAGTGAAGCAGAAACATCTACAACGACAGAGACTTCCACGATCACAACAATGAAACATCTACCAGTAGTGTGGCAGAAACATCCACAACAACAGAGAGCTCCACGATCACAACTCTTGCAGAAACATCCACCACTAGTGCAGCAGAAACATTTACAACAACAGAGACTTCCACGATCACAACAGCTGCAGCTGACACATCCACCACTAGTGCAGCAGAAACATCTACAACGACAGAGACTTCCACGATCACAACAACTGCAGCTGAAACATCCACCACTAGTGCAGCAGAAACATCTACAACAACAGAGACTTCCACAATCACGACTCCTGCTGAAACATCTACCAGTAGTGTGGCAGAAACATCCACAACAACAGAGAGCTCCACGATCACAACTCTTGCAGAAACATCCACCACTAGTGCAGCAAGAGTTGTGATCGTACAACAACAGAGACTTCCACAATCACAACAACTCCTGCTGAAACATCCAGCACTAGTGTACAAGAAACCTCTATAACAACAGAGACTTCCACAATCACGACTCCTGCTAAAACATCCACCACTAGGGCAGCAGAAACATCCACAACAACAGAGACTTCCACAATCACGACAACTGCACCAGAAACATCCACCACTAGTGCAGAAGAAACAGCTAGAACAACAGAGACTTCTACAACAACACATCCTTCAACAGTGACATCAACTCCTGCTGGAACCACTACTGCAGTACCTTCCACAACAGCACCACAAACAACATCTACAACAGAACCTGTTGTGATTCCCACTTCAACCACTACTGAAAGCACCACTGTCAGTTCAGCAACAACATCCACAATACCAACAGCTACAACAACACATCCTTCAACAGTGACATCAACTCCTGCTGGAACTACTACTGCAGGAGCTTCCACAACAGCACCACAAACAACATCTACAACAGAACCTGTTGTGATTCCCACTTCAACCACTACTGAAAGCACCACTCTCAGTTCAGCAACAACATCCACAACACCAACAGCTACAACAACACATCCTTCAACAGTGACATCAACTCCTGCTGGAACTACTACTGCAGGACTTTCCACAACAGCACCACAAACAACATCTACCGCAGAACCTGTTGTGATTCCCACTTCAACCACTACTGAAAGCACCACTGTCAGTACAGCAACAACACCAACAGCTACAACAACAGGGCCCTCAGCTACCACAACAACTGCTGCTGGAACATCCACCACCAGTGAAGCAGTTATCACAACAGTGCCACAAACAACAATTACTAGTGGAGCAGTTACCATGACAGCACCACCGACATTTATGTCATTCTCTCCATCTTTAAATGTCTCTGAGAGCACAACTGTTAGTACCATTCAAACATCTGCAACAACAACAACAACAACAGGATTCTCTGCACTAAAAACAGAAACTTCTGTTTTTACTTCAGCAACTCCCTCTTCAACTCCCTTAAACACTACAAATGGTAGCACAGCTGGAACATCAACACATTCATTTGCCTCGACCACTAATAAAACCACTGTCTCAACCACTAATGCAACAACAAGATTCTTGACATCTACAACTCAAGTGCCTGCGACTACAACTACAAAATCTGCACCCGTGTATCTAACAGTTCTGGTGTTCCGCTCTTTAGACAACTTTACAGTTGAATTCAGTGATCCAACCTCTCAGGCCTTCAAGAAAAGGGCTCAGCTTGTCATATCTCAGGTGAGTTAAAATAAACTTAACAAGATTCACAGGTGACACACAGAAAATATCTTGCCTGTACCCATTAAGTAAAAAAGTCTTCATCAGTAATCAATGTAATTTAACAAAAAAAAATTATAATAATAATCTGATTGTGATTTTGACTGCCTATTATTGTACTTTTACTCTTGCAGCTTGAAACAATCTACAGAGCAAAATATCCTTCCTTTATTGAAGTGATTGTCTTGCTTTTCAGGTAAAAAAGGAATTTATGTGCTTTGTGGGTTAAAAAAATAACAATATAGTAACCTTAAAATAAAGGTAATTTGCTCATGTTCAGGAATCCTATGACATTCTTTTATATTTTCCAGACAAGGGTCAGTAATCACAGAAACACAGCTAGCTTTCAACTCCACACAACCTGTTCCAACTGTTCAAGAGATTTCAGACACCCTCTTTACAGCAGTGATAACAGGAGGTGTCGATCCACTGAACATAACTCCTTATTCGATTTCAGTCAATGGTTCGAGTAAGTTTGCTTGCATTTCAGAAAACATCTTACAAATTCTGAAAGTCTTAGAAAAACTGTGCCTACCACTTTTGCTCAGTAGATCTTGTAAAATGTACAACCTTCATATCACTATGTATACTGACAAACAAAACACAGTGCATTTTGTTGACCTAATTTGTACACCTTTTTTCTTACAGTTATTAACGTGACTACTTCAACTACAGCATCAACAACAACAACAACAACAACAGCAATGACAACAATAACAACACCGACAACAACAACAACAACAACAAGACCCTTGACATCTACAAGACCCTTGACATCTACAACTAAAGTGCCTGCAACTACAACTACACAATCTGTACCCGTGTATCTAACAGTTCTTGTGTACCGTTCTTTTGACATATTTATAATTGAACTCAGTAATCAAAGCTCTCAGGCCTTCAAATCAAGATCTGAGGTTGTCAGATCTCAGGTGAGTTCAAATAAACTTACAAGATTCACAGATGACACACAGAAAATATCTTGTACTTAAGAGAAAAGAATACAGATATTTTAGACCAAAGCCAAACATACTGTATAAAGGGATTTGCTATTATTTAAATTGTTTAGTTTACCATAAATAAGTGACACATTTTGTTTTCCCGCCTCATAAAGTAAAAAAGTCCTCAACGGCTATCAATGTAATTTAACAAATAAAAAAGACCATTCTGATTGTAGTTGTGACTGCCTGTTATTGTATGTTACAGCTTGAACCAATCTACAGAGCAAAATATCCTTCCTTTATCAGAGTGATTGTCATACGTTTCCGGTAAATATGGAATATGGAATTTATGTGCATTTTGTGTATATATATATATATATATATATATATGTGTGTGTGTGTGTGTGTGTGTGTTAACATATATGTTATTAAGGAATCTTATTTGGCATCCTTCTATTTTTTCCAGTCCTGGGTCAATCATCACAGAAACCCAACTAGTTTTTAACTCCACACAACCAGTTCCAACCGTTCAAGAGATTTCAGACTCCCTCCTGACAGCAGTGGTAACAGGAGGTGTCGATCCACTTAACATAATCCCTTCAACAGTTTCAGTCAATGGTTCAGGTAAGTTTGATTGCATTTCAAAACCTATCTTGCTACATATTCTGAAAGTCTTACAACAACTGTAGCTAGCACTTTGGCTCAATAGATCTTGTGGAATTTCTAACCTTCTATATATAGCACTAGTCACTAGGTGATTATATGGATATACGAATAACACAACATATACGGTACATTTGGACTTTAATGAAGCAAAAAAAGAGACACTTTGTTGATCTATTTCATGCATCTTTTTCTCACAGCTATAGCTACGACTGTAGCTGCAACTACAACTACAACTACAACTGCAGCTGCAACTACAGCTTCAAGTGGATTGAAGATTGAATCCAGCCTGCTCCAAGCAACATGGCTCATTATTATGGCAAAAATATTACATCTTTTCCTATAGATCCCTTAACAATGAATATGAGTTGCGAGAAATGAAAGGCATGTGCAAGGCACAAATTATATTAGCAAATTATATTATTTTTGTATGTGTATTATTTGTTATTTAGTATTGTAGCACACTCTCGAAATATGGCAATGGCAATATAAACATAAGCCTAAAATTGCATTGATTCTCAGGGCACAATTTGTAATTAGAAAAAATTATATATATTTTTTTATTTATCAGCAGGTTGTTGTAATCAATCAAATAAGGACAATTCCTATTTCCTCAGTATTTTAAATGTAATGCTTTTGTTCACCTGTCTGCAGGTTAAAGACTATTTATACAGTAATTCTCTTTTGTCTAGTATGTGCTAACATTGCAAGACCTTATTCTATCTTATTATAATCAAATAAACATATTTATTAAGTTCATGTGGTCCAAAATTGTATGATTGTTAGTATTTACATTTATTTAAAATGTACAAGGGTTTTATATTAAATGAATTAAATAAAGTCTTAATGCAACTTTAACTTGCATAATTCTTTCATTACAAATTCTTTATAGCCTAATTATCAAAACTGGCATTTAAAAAAATTATCATAAATTCAGGATAGTATGATTAATGAGGCCTATTAGATAGTATGCATTGATGAGACCTATTTTGTTCTTTCTTTATAGCAACATGACAAGTAATGAGACATCAATAAGTTTCAATAAACTTTAGTTTTTTTTTCTGAAATGTAAATACTGCACACTGATATCTGACAGCTGGGTGGCTCACATTTTATACCTTACTTTACATAATAATAGCTACTGTATTAATCCACCTTACTAGCAAGTACTGTATATAGATTTATATTTTTGAAAAAAATATATCCAGAGTGGGTTATGGCTAGTAAAAACAATGAAAGTGTCTTTAAACACACACACACACACACACACACACACACACAAAACTGTAATAACCACCTAACAAACTGCTATGCAAACTGTCATTGCAGAGGTTTTCATCTTCCACTTCAGATATGTAATGCTCGCAAACAATGCAAAGCTTTAAAACATTTTTATTGTGCTAGTCACAAAACAAGTGTGTTGTACACTCACTAATTTAATTGAATGTAATAATCATTTGTCAGATGTCCCTAAAAACTCTACAATGCCTGATGTACTGTATACTGCATAGGGTATTTTAAAATCATCTTTTTGCTGAAAGTGTATGACTTTTTCATATACTGCATGATGATTACAGATTGACAAATTGCATGCAGTGGGAAAATATCTCCTTCTCGTGCCATGAAAAAGAAATGTCTCTTGATCTTTGCCAGGTGACATAATTAGAGCACATGACCTCTTTTCTCTATATACAATTAAAGTGTCTTTAAACACACACACACACACACACACACACACACAAAACTGTAATAACCACCTAACAAACTGCTATGCAAACTGTCATTGCAGAGGTTTTCATCTTCCACTTCAGATATGTAATGCTCGCAAACAATGCAAAGCTTTAAAACATTTTTATTGTGCTAGTCACAAAACAAGTGTGTTGTACACTCACTAATTTAATTGAATGTAATAATCATTTGTCAGATGTCCCTAAAAACTCTACAATGCCTGATGTACTGTATACTGCATAGGGTATTTTAAAATCATCTTTTTGCTGAAAGTGTATGACTTTTTCATATACTGCATGATGATTACAGATTGACAAATTGCATGCAGTGGGAAAATATCTCCTTCTCGTGCCATGAAAAAGAAATGTCTCTTGATCTTTGCCAGGTGACATAATTAGAGCACATGACCTCTTTTCTCTATATAATTGCCTGTGTTTGTTCTGGGGTGCAAGGGATATTTGTCAAAAAGTTTTAATGACCAAAAGTACATTAACTACAAGCACAATCCTCCTTATGGTTCAGTGTCTTTAATTTTGTGGAATCATCTTACTGTGCGTGTCTGAACCAGACATACAGTACAGTTAAAAATAATTGATGGGATTGTTTGCCCCCATAGCAGTGTGATATGCAAGAGCCATGTTTGCTTTCAAGACAGAAGTCAGTTACATTTAATAAGCTTTTTCATTTCTAGATTTCATGTCTACATGCATGGCTATTACACTGAATAGATGTCTGGGTGACGTTTATGTACAGTACTATCAAGTACGGTGTTTTTGTGACAGCTTACAGAATCAAACAGTTCATTTCTTTGACTCGTTTCAAGTACTGTGACTTCAATTCAATTAAATTCAATTCAAGTGTATTTGTATAGCGCTTTTTACGATACAAATCGTTGCAAAGCAACTTTACAGAAAATTAAGTTTCTACGATATTTAGTAGTAGCTTATCAGTGGTGACTGTCAGTTAATGTACATATGGCAGAAATAACTTGACCTTTTCTTTGTTGATTTGTTGATTTGTTTGCGGTGAACCACTGACTTGACCAGTCTTGCTTGCTTGTTTGCATAACAGGCTTAACTCGAAACTTATTTTGTGACATGCTTGTGATTTGTGATATGCAACTCACCTTTTATAATATAAAGACAAGTTGTGAGTAGGCTTTTTTTTTTAAAGGGAGCATAGCTTTACATCAGTCCTATTTTACTTTATTTTTTACTCATCTTTGCTGTTATAGAGAAGGTGATGTTAGCTATTACCACAAGAAAACCCACGTCTTCATGCGTGTGTACTGAGATGACTGGATTTTACTTTGTCCACGTCTGTTTGTCTTTTGTTTTCACTCATTTGACAAGAGACTTGCATAACAGTTTTGTTCTTTTAACTATGTACGTCATGTTATTGTGTGTTTCAGAGAATGTGTGAAAAAAATGAAATAAAGTCTATGCATACATATATCTTTAAGATGTTAGGAGGTCTTATGTTGTATGAATAACAAAGCATTTCTGTCATAATGGGTCTTAGTATTGTTGAAACAGGTCTTAGGTCAATGCCTGAGGGATTCTACTCTGACATTCTTCCGCCTTAACACCTTCTGTATAATTCTAGGTGTTGACAGTTTTTTATAAAATGATCTGCAGAGATTAAAGTGGTAACAATAAAACGCCCACATTTTCAGAGTGTCACCATGAATGGAATGTCACACGGTCACATTCTTTGCTGTTGAATAACATTGCACAACCTATCTTGTTCGCCCCAGACAATTCTAGGCTGCCTTTATCTCTCTGTGAAGACTGAAGTTTTCTGATGACTTCAAAGTGAGAATCTTTGTGGTTATTTGTGCTGTACTGTTGATAATCACTTACGGTTTTTTTTTTAAGTGAGACTGCTAAAATGACAATGAACTGATATAAATGGTACTTCATTGTGATCGGCCTAAGTAGTTAAATTACACAGCTGAAATGGAAAAGTTTTGAATACAAGATTTATTTTCTTTGTACCTGCCTGCAGAACACAATTTAAAGTTATAGTTCACTTTAAAAAATGAAAATTAGGTCATTATTCATTCACCCTCATGTTGTTAAAAACCTGAGAATGAAACCAATGAATGTCAACTAACCTTCAAAATATATTATTTTGTGCTTCACAGAAAAAAAGAAAGTCATACAGGTCTGGAACGCCATGGGGTGAGTAAATGACAGATTTGTGGGTGAACTATATCTTTAAGTGTTTCAATGTCAGTATTACAGGTGCTGATAAGAGATGAAAGAAGATGTATTTTTTAGGCAGGTGTTCATCCACTAGCAGTATTTTAAAGCAAATTCATGCCTGCCCTCTGCTGGCCAAATACAAGCTTAGCTTTTAAAAAAAATCCAAGAGTAGGTCATACGAGGACAGAGAGTAACTGGGACAGCAGGCACAACTCTGTGATTTTGCTATCCCATGAACTGTTGATGTAGCAAGACTTTTATTCTTTCTAATTCCCAATGTTTCTCCTTGCTCAATACAGTGTCCCAGATAACAAGTACTGCATAAAATACTCAGCCATGCTCAAGCTTTTTTTTTTTTAAATGTTAAATTAGTTTATGAGAAGTAATACTTAAGGTACAGTATTTCTCTATTTCTGTTTTATCACGTGATAGAAAGTCTAAGGCCTTCTCAAGCCATACGGCTGACTTATCTAATCTGCGGCCTGTTATGCATCAAACTAATATTGCTGTTGAGACAAAATGCAATGCCATCAAGTTAGCATTTTTAAACATTCGCTCACTAAAAAACTGCTGCCAGGATTCTGACTAGAACCAGAAAATCTGAGCATATTACACCAGTCCTCAGGTCCTTACACTGGCTTCCAGTTATATTTAGGATTGATTTTAAAGTACTTTTACTTGTTTATTAATCACTCAATGGCCTAGGACCTAAATACATTGCAGATATGTTCACTGAATATAAACCTAACAGACCACTCAGATCATTAGGATCGAGTCAGAAATACCAAGGGTTCACACAAAACAAGGGGAGTCTGCTTTTAGTTATTATGCCGCCCGCAGTTGGAATCAGCTTCCAGAAGAGATCAGATGTGCTAAAACATTAGTCACATTTAAATGCAGACTCAAAACTCATCTGTTTAGCTGTGCATTTATTGAATGAGCACTGTGCGATGTCCGAACTGATTGCACTATATTTTATGTATAATCGTTTTCTATTCTTAACCGTTTTAAATTAATTTTAAACCTCTTAAATCAATTTTTTAATCATTTTCAAAGTTTTTAAATTACTTGTTTTATTGTTGTGATTATTATTTTCTGTTCTTTGATGTAAAGCACTTTGAATTACCATTGTGTATGAAATGTGCTATATAAATAAACTTGCCTTGCCTTGCCTACAGTAACTTATATTAAATCTACTGAAGTATCAAAAGTGCAAGTAAGTGCGTGGCATAAATAATAACACAGCAGACTAACAGCTATGGAAACTTAGGCAAGTATTATCAAAATACTTTATATAGGTGTTGTGATATGAACAAACAGACAAAAGACAGGTACACAAGAGACCAAAAAGGTTCAAAAGCTGTCACTAAGGTGGTACTCTTTTTAAAAAAAGTACTAATATATACCAATTGGGTAATAATATGTACACGTTAGGTACTAATATGTACTTTTAAGGTGCATATTAGCACCCTTTAGTGGTAAATAAGGTAGAAAAAAAGTTCCTTTAAAAAAGGTATCCTCCAAGAGACAGCTTTTTGTACCGTTTTTGTCTGAGAGTGTAGCACATTTGCACAGAATATTTGCAATGATACATTTTCTTCAGAAAAATCTAATCTAGAAAGAGTGTTTCATTGTGAATGTCCGTTCATTGCTGCTTAGCAATAATAGTTGTTTTATTTTCTTTTTGAGTTTTTTCCGTTTTCCAAGTCCACTTGCACTGTGCCAATTTCGCCAGTAGAGAGCGCTCCCTGTCAATCGAGCCGTGTACGTGTGTAGCCTACGTGTTGTTGGGAGAAGCAAAACGTGAAATTTGATCGAAAAAATTTGAGGTGCAGATTAAATATACAAGTGTCCTGATCATTAAGTTTAATATTATTATTATTGTTGTTTTTAATATAGCCTAGTAGTGACAAT